CCCGTGGTTCACTCTCCAGCCCGCGCGAGGGTCTGATTTACTGCCCCGTCTCTGCCGCCGGATGCTCCATGCCAAGCCCTGGGTGTTGCTGACCGGTTTTCCCAGGCCCAGGATCCCAGCTGTAAAAAGCAGCTTAGATCAGAAGTGCTGCCCAGTCCCTGGGTGTCGGCTGCGTCTCCACACGCCCAGACAAGCCAGCAGCCTCTCTGCGGGCAGGTGAGAACTGCTGATGGCCTCTCCCCGCGCAGGTAATGCCCCCCCGGGTGTGGATCCGGAGGCTTTCTCCTGGTTCCAGGCGGTCGATGCGGATCACAGTGGGTACATCTCCGTGAAGGAGCTGAAGCAGGCGCTGGTCAACTCCAACTGGTCAACGTTCAACGATGAGACCTGCCTGCTGATGATAAGTGAGTCTGGGCTCCCCCTGCCCTCCCCCTGCTTCTTATTCTGATCTGTTTGAGACGAGCCTCTGCCGGGGCAAAGCCCAGCCCAGCCTGCGCTCCCCTGTTACCTGAGCATCCATCACCTGAGCAGCTGGGCTCTGGAGCAAAATCTGGCCAAACCGAGCAGCTCCGAGCACCCTTTTGGTGGAGGACTTGAGTCAGGGACCCAAAACCCTGCTTGGGAAAGGGAACCCAGGTTTGTACAAGGCTGAGAGAGCTCCGTTAGAGAGCCAGCCGCCCCGTTCCCCTGCTTGCCCTGGCATCGGGTTTTGGTGCCGTTTCCTACCAGCCTCCTGGGGATTGAGTGGTCCCGTTTGATCGCAGTCCTGGTGCAGGATGGGTTTTAGGGCTGGAGCAGGGTGCCAGGGAGCTGCAGCACAGACCCCGAGCTCTCTGGGAGGTTCTGCAGTGTGTCCTTGTTCTGTTCCTCACTGCCCTGCTCCTGATCTTCGCTCCTTCCTCCCCAGACATGTTCGACAAGACCAGGTCGGGACGTATAGATGTGTATGGCTTCTCCGCCTTGCTGCGCTTCATCCAGCAGTGGAAGAACCTCTTCCAGCAGTACGACAGGGACCAGTCGGGCTCCATCAGCTTCAGCGAGCTCCAGCAAGGTGGGTGAGGGGCAGAAACACCAACCTGGCCCTTACCGACCTCCTGGGGACCTCTGCCCAGCTCTGCTTGGTGTTCATTTCCAGCCGTGCCTGGTGACACCTCCTGGTGCTGTCCCTGGTTTTTTTTGTGTCTCTGGGCTCCCCGGTTGCCTCCCATGCAGCCGTGGCTGCAGTCCACGCCCATTTCTGTGCTGGAACACGCTGGACTGGCTGAACTGGCTGTGGCAGAGCTGACGCTGAGCCTTCCTGTGGGGCGGGAGATGAGGAGCTGCAGCAGGGTTGTGCCATGAACCTTAAGGAAACCCAAAATGCCCCCATGCCCCTCCCCAAATGGCGTGTGGCTAAAGCCTGTTTCCTAGGAGGAGCTCTTGGGCGTGTGTGTCTAATGGAGGGGGAAAAATGTCTGGAATTCATGCCTTGGTTTGTTTCCTCACTCCAGAACGCCCTGCCCGTGCACACCCGCAGTGGGAAGTGAACACCGTGGGGCCGTGGGAGATGGGCGAGGTGCATGGGAGGGGGGACACGGTCCCTCTTCTTCCTGCCAGGAGGGTTTAATCTGAGTATTTCTTGTTCCCAGCTTTCTCCCAGATGGGCTATAACCTGAGCCCCCAGTTTAGCCAGTTGCTGCTGTCCCGCTACGCCCAGCGATCCCCCAACCCCAGCATCCAGCTTGACCGCTTCATCCAGATCTGTATGCAGCTGCAGAGCACCACCGACGCCTTCCGCGAGAAGGACACAGGGCTGGTGGGCAACGTGCGGCTCAGCTACGAGGACTTCCTCACCATGGTGGTGACCCGCATGATGTGACACCCTTATCTGAGGCCAGTGCGGGCTGGGAGGTGGCCAGGAGTTCTGTGGGGCTCTACGGGAACAGCCACCGTCCTCGTCCTCATGCTGGGGTGTGGACAAACCTCCCAAAGAGCAAGCTGTTCCCCCAGGATGGTTTTCCATCCTGCTGTGTCCAAGCAGCCCTGAGCCCTGCTGGGACCCTCCCAGCTTTGGTTCCTTGTCCCCACTCGATGGCAGTAGGTGCCACCACGCCAAACTGGAGCCCAGCTCTGGGGACAGTCAAACCAGTAGCCTGTGCCATGCCTCCCAGGGAAGCATCCCTTGCCAGATGCAAAATCCTGGTTAAATCCCCAAATCCTATTTAAACCCCCCCCGTGCTGTCCCTCTGCTTGTGGGATGTCTGCAGTGGTGCATCCCTGTCTCGACATGCTTTTGGGGACTCTGCGGTGGCCACGATGTCGGATGGCAGAGCTCGTCCTTCCGTGCCTTGCAGCCTGCTCTTCCTCGCCAGGAGCACATCCAACCCCTCGGCTGCACTGGAAACGCTCCGGCTTTCCCTGGGGTCCCAGCCTAGTTTCTCTCCGTGCCACCGGAACGGGCCACATGCGGGATCATCACCCCCCCTCATTGCCAATGTCTGTCTTGACTTGTCTGTCTGCTGAAGCCAAAGTCAGAAACAGTTTAGAGCTTATTTTTACAGCTTTTGAATAAAAGGCGATGTGCACTGGTTGCGGGGTGTTTTTTTGGGGGGAGCAACTGGGGGGACACTGCCCTGCCCCATGTCACCCCCCTGGGGCTGGCAGCAGCACTGGGTGCAGGGAAGGGGACATGTTGTCCTCCTGCGCCTGCAACCCGTCTCTGGGCGCTGCTCCCGGGGCTCGGTGTGCTTTCCTGAAGGTGGATCTCACTCGTTTCACATCAGCTTAGAGAATGAGGTGCTGGGTCTCCAGCTGAGATAAAAGTAGATTTGAGCAACACAACATTTTTCTGTCCCGTGGTTTTACAATTATGTCCAGGTGATTATCCTTTGATTGGCCTCGAGGAGGAATCTCAGGGGTGCTTTTTGAGAGACATGTTGCTTTTATATATCTGAAGGAATTTGTATTAAAAAGAACGTTTGAACACGGAGTGACTTATCTGATGCTCTCAGAAGCAATAACCAGATGTCGGTGTTTGCCTGGGCTCCGGCCAAAGGCAGGACTTCTTGTTCCAGAGCTTCGCTAATTGTTCCAACAATATTTCTCATCGTCTGGTGTTGAGTCAGACCTGGGGCGGAGAGGTTCAGAGCAGGGCAGTGGGAGCTGCCCCCCATCCTGCTGTCACCTGTGTGTGGTTGTCACTGCCTGGGGGGCTGTCACCCCTCCTGGCCGGGGCTTTGTGCAGGGGTGAATGAATATATATATATATATACACACACACACGCACAAACACCCCTGTGTCCATACGTACACGCAGATTAAGACCCCCCCCCCCGTGTATATAAATGTACAGACACACACTGACAGATAACCCTCCATATGAACACACACACACAAATGTCACACTGCACGTGTGCTCACTTACTGACACCCTTACGTGTGCGAATATAT